CCCCTTTTTCATTTTTTTTTTTTTCCTTTTTGTTGGGGGAGGGTTGGTCGAGAACTATAGTTGGGTATTACTAAGATATAATGTAGTAACATTTACTGCACAGTACCCTTAGCGCTCTCTTTTTGAGCTTATTCATCACGGAGAATTGCTTGAGCCTTGCTTTCACAGTCTCACCAAGTGAGACATTAGGGGCCTTCTTTATATTCTGTAACCATGGATGCTCTGCATATGAAGCACGTTTAAACAAATATGCATTCGTAGTTCCATCTTAATTTTCAGTTTTTTCACTATAAGCTCAAATAATATATATATATGCAATACAACTTAATCTAAATCAAGGAAATACTACCAAGGACTTGCTGAGCAGTGAGACGCTGGCTGGCATCTGGATTGAGCATTTTCTTAACGAGATCCTTTGCACTGTCTGATACTTTAGGCCACGGATCTCTCTTAAAATCAATCACCGAACGAATAATCGCTTGTGCTACTCCTTGTTCGGTTTCTGGGCAAAAGAAAATGAATATTAGATAATTAACTAAAAGGGAAAGAAAATGAGGGTGAAGGCCACCATATAATTTCATAGCTTATGAAAACGTGATTCTTTTCTCATAATAAGTGATTGGAAACTGGAGGGAAGCCGTACACAATCAGTGCTATCCCAACATTTCATGTTCCTCTAGAGCTAAATTTACAAATAACACTTGACTGGTAGAATAGCAAAGTATGTCTTGAAACACATATGGGAATAACTTTGCTCCTACGCTTCCTAGAAGCTTGCAGTTCCACTTTTTAACACTGGTAGAAAGAGTTCTTTTTAATTTTGCTTCACATTTAGTAGAAAACTTTAAAAAATAATACTACAACTATTCAGCTGACAAAGGTCCGGGAAGTGGAACAATTTAATTTCCAATGAGGTTTTCTCAAGTGAAACGAGGCAGGAGATTAAAAGATAAAAATATGGAATCAAGTAGCCATCATTCACCAACAAACGCAGCTCTATCTCATAGACCCTAAATCTGACTTTCATGTTGTTCATTTAAGTCTAAAAATGCACTATTCCATGTTGACTTCTAAACGACTTTCAAACTCATCCACAATCCCATATAGCATGTTCAGGCAGACAAAAATTAAAGATTCTAACCTGCCCAGAAGGGAGGAACGCCACAAAGTAGAATGTAAAGTATAACTCCAGCACTCCATATGTCAACCTCTGGGCCATAATTTCGTTTCAAAACCTCTGGAGCCATGTAATAAGGGCTTCCAACAATCTCATTAAACTTCTCGCCTGAGGACAATTGACAATCATAAAAGGCTCAAAATTGCAGTAAAAATAAGAGACCAATGAGTGTAGTGGTCATCATAATAGAAATTTAAAGGATAACACAACCTACCAGGTTTGAAGAAGACCGACAAACCAAAGTCAATTGTTTTTAGGGGGCTCGTTTCTTTCTTATTTGCAAAAAGAAAGTTCTCAGGTTTGAGATCACGATGCATCACTCCTTGCCCGTGGCACATCTACAGCACAATGAAGTAAATTTAAGCAAGGGTTCCAAACAAAATGTATGGACATATAAACGTATTAAAAGAAAAAGGGAAAAAAAAAAGGAAAAAGTAATTCACTGATTCAAAAAAGTGAAAAAAAAAAAAGATGATCTTTAAGCATTAAGAAGAGGGCAGTGAACTCTAGTCCACTCTATACACCAAGTCACCAACTAAAGTCTATTTTATAGTACATGAAACATAGCACATTCATTAAGAAGAAAACGCAAGATTGAATAGGCTATGCCCACAACATTATTAAATCACATGGTTAGAAAGAGAACAAGTATCAATAATATTCACTAGAATTAACTATGTCGTACAACACGGCCAATCTCCCTGTACTTTCAATGATGAATCAATCTAGAAACTCCTGGTATAAAACAGTATGGACTCTTCAAATGCTTTCAATGTCTTGAGCAAGTGAAAACTGAAATATCATGCTCATGCACTGCCCAGGCACACAAAACCATCTCCAATCTATACATTGTGATCAAGAAAAGAACCAACATAAAGCAAGCCTAATCAAGAGCGAACCGAAACAGAATCGACCAATAACACCACAAATTCCAAAATACAAACAAAAGAAAACAATCCGAAGTTCATTTAAACTTGAAAACGCATATACAAACCTGAACAACTTCAACAATCGTCCTCATCACATACGCAGCTGCCCTCTCCGTGTAATGCCCTCTAGCCACAATCCGGTCAAACAACTCCCCACCTTCACACAGCTCCATCACTATATGCACCGCACTAGCATCCTCGTAAGTTGCCTTAAGGGTCACGATGTTCGGGTGGTTGGGCATGCGGGTCATGATCTCCACCTCCCGCCTCACGTCCTCGATATCTACAGCTGTCCTCAGCTTCTTTTTGGATATGGACTTGCAGGCCAATTTTTCTCCAGTCTCAATGTCCGTGCATAGGTAGGTGACCCCGAATTCTCCCCTGCCAAGCTCCCGGCCTAGATCATACCGGGCATTTATGTCGTCACCCGTCGGGTTTTTCAGCACGACCAGCTTGTTCGAGCCCCCTGATCCATTCTCCCCGCTGTAGTCAATCGACAACGGGTTGGGTTTGTTCTTTTTCTTCTTGGCATTGGACGAACCGGAAGGAGCCGCACAGCAGTTACCCATGTTTCAATACATATGCAGCTTTAATCTCAACAGTTCTCCAAAAAGAACGGTGCCCTGAGACATTTTTGGATCACAGAAATTCAATCACGCTGCCAAAGTACACAAATAATAATAAAAAAAATATAAAAAAGATAATCGCTGAAACATTACATCTGGGTTTGTTCTCAGATTCGAAAGGTTGAAACTTGAAAGAAGAATTCTTTAATAGTGAACAGAAGCTCTCTTGCAGAGGGGAAAAATGAGGGGAAAAAAAATGAAAAAGAAAATTAAATCCGTAACGAAAATCTCCAAGAACTGTGGAACAATAGATATAAATTGCTGCAAGAAAAACAAAAATACCATTAAGATAAAAACCTCTGTGACATCATCAATCGAGAAGAAGACGACGCCATGGGAGCTAAAAACAACAAGAACGTAAGATAATGAGAAAAATGGGGGCATACCCAGAATTACGATTTCTCTAGGATTTTTGAGAAAATGAGGAGAAAGAAAGCGGCGAAGAGCATGTTGGTCAGATGAAGAACAAATGTAGATATGAAACGAAGGGGCCGTGAAGATGTGAATCCGCTCCTGAGGAAGAGAGAGAAAGAGTCAAAAGGGTCTTTTGCGGAGATTGTTTTCTCTCTCATGAAGATGACGATGAAGTTTCATACTAATCCCTCTCCCCTTCTCTCTCTACTTTCCATTTTTTTCATCTCTTTATTTTTTTTCTTTTCTTTTGTTGTTTTTTTTTTTCCGAAACGATAGGTATATTATAATCAAAAGGCACAAATGTAGAACTACAAATTGAGAGGACAAGTATTATAATCAAAAGGCACAAATGTGGAACTACAAATTGAGAGGACAAGTCAGAAGACCGCCTAGAACCTCAATTAGCCAAGTTAGAATAAAAACAGACTCAACACATAAAAGCAAACTCAACACACTACCAACAACTAGAATCGCTCCCCATAGGATAATAGGATCGGCCCCCACGGGGTAATCAACACAGGGGCCAACAGCCCAGACCAAAAAAAACATACATAAAACACTCAGACGAAGAGCCCAGACCAAAAATACTTAACTAGAACAGACTCAAGCAACTACAACAAAAACAAAAAAACAGGGCCCTTCCCCAGCCAACAAACGAGCCCAAAACAGCGGAGAAACAGATGACCCAAGATGATCCCAAACCTAAGGAACAGCTCCAGAAACTGCGAAACCGCTTATACAGTAGCCGCACTGGAGCCCCGAAACATCTCGAATCAACCCACCTATAACCGAGAGAACAAGACTAGCTCCCAACTCCAGCACTACCCAACCTCGTCTAATACCACTAGTCGAGCTCGGAAGCGCCGGACCCACCCAGCCCCCAGCACTAGAGAACCTGAGGTAGGGAGAGCGCAACACCGGCAACCTTGACGAAGGACGCCACAGCCGCTGGTGTCCCGGCCCGTCCACGGACCCACTCACCACCTGAGCCGCTGTAGAAACCAGGCAGCCACCGGACCCCACCCGACGCCCCACCGAAGAAGAATAGCAATCTAAGGAGGACAACAATCCCGGACATAACAGAGAGAGAGGGGAGCTTACCATCACCTTTACCCGACGAGAGCCGCCGGAGTCCGTAGAGGGGGAAGCCGCCGCCAATCGCTGAAATTCGACAATCGAAGGGCGGCCACTCGAAAATCGACAGCAGCACAAGCCGCGAGGCATCAGGAACATGTCGGGCGGTTAAAGGTGACCACTGCCCAGAGCATCGCCGTCGACGAGGAAGGCGAGATGGCGGCGAGAGGAGGAGCTACCGGCGATTAGGGTTTGGCGAGAGAAATTAACAATCTTCTTTCTTTTTGTTTGATATTCATTAATATATATAAATTAAAATTGCTCTTTAAATAATATTTAATTTAAATATGAAATAAATATGTAGTACAATACATATATTACTTTATTAAAAATATTATATTAAATTTAAATTGTGCATAATTACATAAAGCGTGTCTATTTAAAATTAGTGCACAAGTCGTACGGTGCACGTAACTGATAGTAAATTATATTATATTCATTTCAAAATAAGTTTCATTTTAATTTTTTTATTTAGATATTCGATTTGACTACAATGAGATTCCATAAAATAATTATTTTGGTAAAATTTTATCATATATTTAGAAACTTATGTGAATAACAAGTATAATCATAAAAATTATATTATTTCATTAATTAATGAATTTATTCTTTTATCAACTACAAATAAAACAATTTAAGTAGTTGAGTAGTTTATTAAACTATAAATAATTGACTATTTCATTTACATCATAGTTAATATTGACCCGTAAATTATGAATAATTACTTATTTGACTTTTAAATATAAAATCCCAATTTGGAATGCACAACAAATTCCTTTATATATATGTATATATATATATATACATTATCTCCTAATTTTTTAGATTTGTTGTCGGTTACCTTATTGTTCAAATTTATCAATTGATTCTCTATAATCAAATTAAATTGTTTAATTTTATTAACCAATATTTGTTCAAATATCTTTCTGGTTTTCAAGGGGAATATATAGCAATTTATCTAATTATCATCAATATCTTATGACAAGTTAATATAAAAATATGCTAAAATTTGATAATCATATCACAATTTATATATATATATAGCAAATTAAAATTGGGTATCAAAAAATTGTGTGGACATTTATTTGGTTTAGAACTTCTATCACGTCATTTTATGTGGGTAATGATAAAAGCAGTATTTAGTATAAGAAAAAATAAAAAGAAATAATATAATTTTTTGAGTTATTTCCCTTTTTTTACACTAGTGCGTATCCCGTGCGATGCACGAGTAAACAATATTAAATAATGATTATAAATAAGTATCGAGTTCGAGCCACCCAATTAAAGAAGTGGGGAACCACTATTCATCTTCTTTTAAAAGAGCAAGAAAGATTACAAAATTATTATTATTATTCATTTGAGTAATTTGAGTACAAAAGATTTCAAAATTATTATTATTATTATTTTAAGTAATTTGAGTACAGAAGATTTCATAATTATTATTATTATTTAGTTACTGTAAATATTATTATTATTGTTCTTTTAAGTAATTTGAGTACAAAAGATTTCAAAATTATTATTATTTTTTAGTTACTGTAAAAGAAAATTTTGTACGCATAAAATTTCACGCTTTATGCAGATTTATCAATTTTACAAATAAAATGAAATTTATTTTATATTGAATGGAGACTAAGACAATTTTGAAAAAAAAAAAAACTGCCTATTTTCAAAATTGTCCTATTGATTTTTGAAACAATACATTTGTAATTTGACTTAGTTATTGTAAAATTTTGAAACTTATGAAAAAAAAAAACTAAAGAGATGAATTTCGATTGGCTTGAAATTCTTAAACCATTTTGAATTTCGTGCAAATTGAAACCTAAAAAAATGAAATTCATTATAATTGTAATTTCCAAGTGTTTGTTAATTTTAAAGTTGGCAAAATTCTTCATTTAAGGTTAGCGTCCAAGGATAGAAGCATGTGATTAGATATTTTTAAATTCAATTTGAGATTTTTGAATTAAACCCAATTTTATGCCAACTAAAATGAGAAGGGATTTTGGATTTCAAATTTTCAATTCAAGTTTTAAGGTAATTTTTTCAGTAATTTGATTGTTTGGAATAAAAAACACAACTGAATATTTTAAATAAAATATGAGAAAGGATTTTGAATTTTAAATTATATTCAATGATCGAAATTTGTAGAACTTAATGGAACCAAATCCACCAATTTATCTTTTAGGCGTTTAAATGAACTGTAATTTATTAAATGAACCAAATCCACCAAATAAATGAATTGTAATTTATTTAAAAAAAATAAAAAATAAAAGCATCCGGTTAAAACAATTGTAGTAGCCGAGTTGATGTTCAAAGAGTTTTTGATTTTTTGTAAATACTAATGTAAGTTTATATTATTAAATTAGGTGTAATTTATTTTTTAATAAAATAAAATTTGTAATGTGGTGCAAGATTATATGTTAAAGAAAGTTTTTTTTTTAAAAAAAAAAATTGTGAAAATGAAAAAGGAACAACCTAATCTTGTGCAAAAATAAATAACAAACTCCACTTAACAAACTCCACATTTAAATGCAATAATTAATGATGCACATTTGTAAATAAAAAAATATAATAAAAACTTGTTATTAATAGCATGCAATTAATGCTCAACCATATTTGACCACATTTTGACTTACCATTTTTAAAAAATAGTAATTCTTTATATATATATATATACATTTGGTGTAAGTTTATTTACAAAAAGGTATAAATTATAAATTATATAATCTATTAATATATAATAAGGATTAACATAATTCACTTTTAGAAACACTTTCCCGCCAATTTTATTAATTATTGCCTAAAAATAGTACATTAACAAAATCGCGATTTATTAGCATATCAACTTTTTTCCTTTTTTTTAGGAATCCAGTCGAATACTTTTATATTGGTACCAATATGGAATCAAAATCCAAATAAATCTCTTATTTCCCAGTTACAAATTTGTTTTCGAAATAAAAAAAGGAAATGATTGTAATTTATTTGTCAAATACAGATTTGGTTTGAGATAATTAGCCGTGAAAAATGAAATCAATTGTAAATTATTGTCATATTCAGCTTTTGCTTGAAATACTTATGGTAACACACTTCTTTTGAGGATTGCAGTAAAGGAAATATACACAAATTCATTATTATGGAAACATTTTTTTTTATTAATTTTGTACACGTGAAAAGTTTTTTTTGGTTAAATATTTTACCCTAATCATGATTTAAATAAGAATGCTAAATAATAAAACAAAGTTTAATCATTAATGAAAAATTATTTGCAATTTTTTATATGCATAAATATAAATAGCATGTTTCAACACAAAAATATTATCTTTTAACATATAGTTATGAAATATATACAACATAAATAATAATTGAAAAAAAAAACAAATTAATTATAAATATCTCAT